AAAAAAAAAAAAAAAAAAAAAAAAAAAAAAAACAAACCAACATAATTGGTCATCAATGGTCTAAACAGAGACTGTACAGTTTAACAGCTTGTGAAAAATTATTTCTTTTAACTTGTAACTTTAGAAACTCAAAATTTTCGCTACCTACGTCGTTTGTCAAAATCAATTTTATATTACCTCACTTTTACCTGTCAAGAGCTATTTTCTGCACATATAGATGAACAGAATTAAGGATTTAGAAAGCATTAGCAATGAGTTAAAAAAGTTATCTAATCAAAACAGTATGTTTAGATTTATTTTTTTGAAGAAACAAAGAAGCAGAAATAATATTTGTTTCTATCATAGAACTAAATTATACACTAACAAAGCTCAGTCTATAAAAAATCACTTGTAAAACTAGATGTCACTGATTTTCTGACTTGAAAGTAAGTTTTTGTCTTGGAAAGAATACGTTTTAAAGTAAATGTGCATAAAGCACAAAAATCAAAGAAAAGAAAACAATTAATTGGTTTTATTTTGTTCATTAGAAAAGTTAACAGTACACAGACCTAAAATTCAAGTATCATATTTATAGATGAGAAAAAAAGAACTTTATAATAGGTACTTAAACAAATAAATAGTATTTACACTTAGATGTCGTTCAGTAACCCATCAAACACCTTGCATAATTTATCAAACAGAGAAATATGTTATGGAATCATTACAGGTTGTAAAAGTTGTGCAAACAATAAAAACAAGACAATCATGAAAAATGTCAGTTGTTCTACAGAAGCAACTATTTTTGCAAGAAAAATTTTTATAGTCTTCTGGATGTGAGAATCTGTCTCAGAAAAGAAAACTGTTAAAATACAATTCTGCAAAAAAAGTAATTTTCATAAGTTGCAATTTGTTCTCAGTTGGCAACCTTTCTACCATAAAAAAATTTATTTAGCAAATATTCTGATCCTTACTGTTGACAGTTCCAACAGATGTTATAACAATGGCTAAGTTACTAGAATATTCTTTAAAATTTTACACATTTTCTAAACTAATACTACAGTTTCGTCACTTGCCTTCCACCTTCTTCTTTCTTCTACCACCTCGGTAACATTGAGATCAATCGTTAATTAGCTGAAATTATCGTTTAGTGATGTTTTATTTTTGTTAACTTTACTCATTCGTTCTGTGTTTTTTTGTACTTTTTATCATACTGAATTCTTTCGCTGCTTTTCCTTGGCATACTGATATTCTGTAGACTAAACAAGTAGAAGTTGCATACACTATAAACCAGTTGTCAAATTAGATAATAAATTCTTGGATATCCTTCTGGTCACTCGTCTGTTTTCCAAATTTTTTAGAAAATTTCTTTTTATTCATTTTTGAAAATTGCCTGGAAATTTGCAACACAGCTAATCTTATTTGCATTTTTCTCTTATCTCAATTCTACACGAACAACTGGGCAGGGAATAAAATTGGTCTTGCAGTGTTCGCTTATCAAGAATACTTTTTTTTCAACTGGCTGATAAGCAATAATTTTTGTGTGCGCAGTCTGCTCGAAAATACTTTTTAACTGGTTATTTGGTATACAAATATTTGGTATACCCTCAACCTTATTTAAAATTTAGTGCCGCGTACCGAAAGACAAATGCTTCTAAAGCGAATAGGGTTACACTTGAGTATATAGGCGATACTTTTAAAAGAACTGTTACGGAAGGAACTCAGTTAGTTTGACATCTACCCCGAAACTTTTGCCTGCCATTTGCTGTCACAATTAGGCTTTTATTTAGTCATAATCCTACTGAGTATTGACTATTATCTCGAATTATTAAGACCAAAATATTATTCTGCTAAACAATACAAATTTTTTGCATAGTTGAATAGAAATGCACAAACGGAAATTAAGACTAAAGTTCCGCTTTTGCTGAAGTCTTTTTTACTGTGTTTTCTTTAAAGAGATATTTTTTATACGGTTTTTTCATATTCTGTTGACAAGTTGAACAGTTTTTTATCACTTTTTTAGAGTTATATCATTGCTTTTATCATCGTTGAAGAACGTTTGTTGAGCTGGCACTTGTTTACCGATATATGCTGTAAAGCTGTAAGATTTGAAAAATGCAAAAAATTTTTCTCAATAACTGTTTCGTCAACTTTACTGCAGTGAAAACCAGTAGAATATTTTGAAGGGATTAGTTATATTTCTTGCGATACTTACTAAACAAATAATAATTGCAATCAAATACATTTTAATTGAATCGTTGATTTTTTTCAATTATAACTGAGAAAAATTTAGCTGTATAATAAAACGGTTCTGAGAACAAAATCAGATTTTACTGTATCAAACTATCTGATAAGTGTCAAGTTTGTCTGAGAAAAAATTATTTAGTTTCTTGTAGCTTGTTGTAATGTGGTTTTCCTTCTCCTCTCTTCACTGCTCACTACAAAGCATTTTTCAACGTATAATTCTCGACAGGCGAACAACATACCCAATTGTTAACGTTTTTCTGTATTTGAACTGATATAAAATGTTACTGCTTGCAAGTTTTTTGTTTTTATAGCTGGCTTTTCTTTTTTCTGAGATAAAAAGCTGTGAGATACAAATGCATTTTTCTTCACTACAAATTCCATTTGTTTTTCTTTTATTTTCTATTTTGAAATTACTTTCAGTACAAAATAATTTTTGATTTAAATTACTTTAATTTTTCATTTAAATGCTAACTCTCAAAAATACTGTGCTTCCTGATAGACCTTACAGTCATTGAAATTATGACAATTTCAATTTGTTGTTAAAGCAGCTCAGTGGTAAGAATTAGGTTGGTTAATATGAAGGTGCATTCAACTTCAAGATGAGCAAAATTTACAAGTCAACTGATCAAAATTGACAACAGTAACTTTTTGCCTCTCTTCGAGAATCTTATATAAAGATATCACAGAAAAGTTTGCAAAAAAATTGCCAATACAGTTTTTTCAAAAGTATTCACGTAGGTTTTTTGAATTTTGCATCATTAAAACACATACTATTTTTATTGAATTTCTTATCCTTTAAAAGTGAAGAGAATAAAGCTTACAAATGCGAGAAATAATATGATTTAAAGCGAACCTTGCTGAAAAAGATAAAAAGTGAAATCATCACTGAATCATCACTGTCACTGTTTACTACTGCTTAAGATCAGTTTCCTGCGTTAAAATATTCAGCTTTTGTAGGAAATGAGTAACATCATTAAACGATAAAGTTGTAAACGCCACGTTATTGGCGTGGTCAAAGACAGGCAGAATTATTTAAACAACTCAACTGGTATAATTGTTCATACAGTTTGTTCTTTTCAACAATTTTTTATTTTTATTATGAAAATCAGAATAAATCTATTTCTGCTTTAACGTACAGTACAAAAATCTTTTCAGTTTCAAGTTAAATTTAGTAAACTTTGGCCTCATATTATTTTCTAGTTAAAAAGAGCTTTGTTTTACAAATCAGGTGAAACTTGTATTGAATAAAAAATATTCGGAAAAAGAAAATCTTGTTTTCTAAACATTACTCGATTAATGTTCAAAAAACAAAGTATTCAACAAAAAAATTTCTACTTTAGGAATGCACTGATAAATTTGGAATCGGCTTAGAAAAATTGTGCGATTCTTCAAAAAGACAACAGCGGATAAAAAGATTTCTCTTTTATTTTTCTGTTTTTTAGTTATGGTAGGCTTTTTCGGCTGGTGGAATGGTATGAAAAGCGAAACTTGGCTCGATTCAATCACGTTGAAGTAAACTTTTTTCTACTTCTTAAATAACACATCTTTTCTTTTTTGCAGGTTTTCTTTAAAGCAATATTAGATTGTAAAAAATTTAAGCAAAGAGTTGAATTAATCTAAACTAACCGCAATTGAAATGCTGTTAAACATTTGCTTCGTAAATACTCACTTAATCTATATCTTAGACAAGTAGGTGAAATGCTGTTACAGTCAGGCTATTGAAGGATTACTTTATAGACTCGTAGTAAACTGTAGAAAATGCAGTATTCAACAAGAAAAACTTTAGAGAAATTTTTGAAATACAATTGTAAGAAAATCGTATTTTAGTCTTATTTATTTCAAAAGATGAGGAAGATAAAAAAGGAAACCCACATCACGAAATAAACATAAAAACTCAAAATTTAAAAACTTGACCATCAATTTGGTAATAAGTTCTAAATGCTAGAAAGGCAGCGTTTTTCAGTTCCTTAATCCTCAGCCGTAATCAGAATGACAAGAGTGATAGCTTGCCACTGCTGCATAGGAATTTTGAAAAACAATTGTGGAAATTTTATACGCCATCGTGTTCAACTACAAATGCTGCAAAATCGTCAGACACCTCCAAATCGAGGAAAATTCATATAAACCCAAAAAAAAACAACGAAAAGCTTGCTTCTAACGCTATACGGTAACAGATTTTTAACAGTTATGCAACTCTCAAAGATTAAAGTTATAGCTTTTCTGAAATATCTCCGTTTTTCAGTACATTTCAATATGCTGCATGGTCGTTCATCCCCCTTTTTTTAGCCGGACAATTCCGTAGAGTCAGCAATATTTTCTTTCTCTTCGTAGCTTTGTTACAAGTAAAACTTGTCTTTCTCCAATTATTACGTCTTTATGATTCATATTATTTCGATGTTATAGAGGTATCTTTCAAACTTTAAAAGCAGTCAGAAGACACTACTACAGTCCTGAATCCTTCCAAAGCAAATGTTACCTTATTGTTTAAAAACTTTCACTAAAAAACAATTCTTTAGCAAATTCCTGGCATCAGTCCGACTGGTCGGTGGATTACGGCTATCCCACTTTCCATTATGCTTTCTATCTGTGCTTTAAAAGAACTTTTCGAAGATTTTGTAAGGTTTTATTGATATCAAGTATTCCACATCGATATTTCAAAATCATTTTTTTAAATTTTTTTAAGATTTTGCCAACTGCAGTCAAATTTACTCTACTTGAAAAAATTCAAAGTCTTGCTTCAAATTTCTGGTCCGAAAACACTTTAGAATTTCTAAAAGATTTTCTGCAATTCTCAAAAAAATGCTGCATTTTTTTAGTAAGATTTCTTTGCATATTTAGAAGACACAAAATCTAAAACGTGTAATTAGAGTAGATACAGTTCACGGACCACTTATAGTCAAATTAAATAGTCGAAAAATTGCGGGTAACGACCAGTAGAAAAACAATAGAGCTTGCTGGAAGGAGCAGTTTTTCTTAAATGCACTTGTCACATTTTGAAGCTTCATTTGCTGACCTCATATGATGAAAACTTTCACGAATTTATCTTCCATACTTTATATACTGATGCTACAATTATCATAAATATAATTGCAAGCTAACATTACTCTGTTGTTTACTTTAAAATACTCTATTGCTTCCAAAAAAAATTAAAAACACCATATGTGTATTACGTGTTGTTTTTTTAAGAGGAGGAGGATATCTGATAAAAAAGTGAATAGTCGTTTGGCATCCGTTCTACGATACAGCAAATGGGCAAAAATAAAATGGGAAGAGGTCAATTCGTTCTTTCTAATTTATTCAAAACTATTATAACTTTGCCATACCAAATTTTATCAATTTCAACGTTGTTTTTAGCTCCCTATTTTACTGGTTGAAAATTTTTTTAATGAACCGCCATGACTTTTCGGCGGCTTGAATTACCGACAGTTAAAAAGGCAGCGTAGACTACTTCCACTAAATTTCTAATATTTCTCAATGTAGATTGCCGTTGGCGATATCGTCAAAGTGGAAGAGGGTATGTCCTTTCCTGCCGATCTGTTATTACTTTCATCCAGTGAAGAAAACGGGTTTTGTTACACTGAAACCTCAAATATCGATGGTGAAACCTATTTAAAAAGACGGAACGGCTTAGAGAACACTTCTTATTTGAAAGATGTAACAAAACTTCAGGAATTTTATTGTGAGGTCGAGTGCGAACAACCAAATAAATTTTTAAACCAGTTTCGTGGGACGTTAACTGTTGCGGGACAGAAGTACTCCTTAGGTTTTCATTATCTTTTCTTTTTAGTGAACTTGCGTGTGATACAAGTTTTTATCGGAGATAAACATAGATTTCTGGAAAAGCGAAAAAAGCAGATAGTTTCGCTAAATTAGTAATTTTTTACGTAGAATTTGGTAGACTGAAAAGAGGCTGATAAGAATAGTTTGAAGTTTTATTTTTGTAGCGCATTTATTGGAACATTTCTGAAAACTTTTTATTTAAGAAATTAAAAAGTACTAAAGCAGTCCTTTATGGTAGATGCTTGTTCACATAGACTATAAAAAATTTACTTTGTAGTCTAACTCTTTAGATAAGAAACTCATTTTTTACAAGTATTTATTATTTGAACAGAAGAAGTCATGTCTTGTGTAATCAACTTCTGATAAAACGTCATAAAGTATAATAAGAAATGCGCATTTTTTTCGCAAAACAGTTAGCATACAAATTGTCCTTCTCAGTTTTTGAAACACTTTATTTGCCTAAACAAAAAGCTGTATTACACAGTCGTAGCGCTGAAGGTTTATGTGTTCCTTTCCGGTCTGTTTTTCTTCCTGATTTTTGGCAGTTAAAAACGTGTTTATTCAATGTTTAGTAATTCAAATGTTCAAACTGTGGTTTTTATTCATTTAATTAATTTTTACCTTAAATGCATTACTAGTTTTTTAGGGATAGAGCACATTCTCCTCCGCGGAGCCCGCTTGAAGCATACAGAATGGATTTACGGTGTGGTTTTGTATACAGGCCATGAGACGAAACTACTTTTAAATTCCAGTGCTGCTCCGATTAAGCTGTATCGTTCAATGCTCATCGCTCATTAGTATTTCAATAAATATTTGCACGGTAACCTAACTAATTTATAAGTTTTGAGAGACAATATCAGTGTTTAAGGTCGAGCTTCGAGAAGTCGTTGAATGAAAAAATGATTTATATGTTCGCAGCTTTTATAACACTTGTTATTATAAGTGTTGTTGCTGCCAACGTTTGGCGTCCTTCAGCATGGTTGAATTTGAACATCGTTACTACATCAGGTGAAGAAATTTTGCTGATATTATAACAAAAGTTTTAAGAACTTATTCAAAATTAGTTTCATGCGTTTGGCTCAAAAAAGAATACACTTCTGCTCAATTATTAGTTGTTGTGAAGAGACTGTCTTGGTTAATTATGTATGTCTTTACCATAATTTTGAGACTGATATAATCGCAGGTATTTTTAAAAGATATAGTTTTTTAATGATGCTCTGCCATAATGCATTACTGGTAGCGTTATCTGTGAACTGCTAATTATTTAGTGATGAAAAAAAAATGTTTTTTTCAATTTCTACATGTTTGAGGAACCACTTTTGAACTTTATGATGTACCAGTTTTTCTCAA